CAATGGAAAGAAATACTAAACATAATAAAGCGTTTGAACTGTTTGTGGCAGTCATTATGTTGCTGTCCAATGGGTTTACTCTAAATCAGTCCATAATGAAGATGTGAGGCATATACACGCTTAAAAATTCCATGAAGAACATCCATGGAAACTTTCCATTCCCACAAAAGATTCTTTATACTGGAAGAAGGTTCTTTAGATTAGCGAAATGTTCTTCACACTAAGAAATAAATTCGTTTCTAAGTACTAAGAGCTAAGAACTAAGAAATAAGTTCTTTTATGAACTGATCATAGAAGATTCTTTGGGGAACCAGTTGCATTGAACCAGTTCAGTTGCAATGCTATGGAAACAGTTTCTTCAGCTGCATTGCTTCGAAAGCCCACTTTTTAAAACTTCAGTTTTAAAAGTTTTTAAAGGGAGCTGTAGATAATTCAGCAGACAAATCTAAGAACTAAGGCCATTTCAAACTGCACCGACAGACACAGACAAATGGCAACAGACACGTTTGCCAAGTTTGTCTAATCAGTGTGTTATCCCTGTCGGCATCTGTTGGCTTTGGTCGCCGTTTGTTTTTGTCCTTCTTGGAACGTCTAAGAAGTGACTCAGAAAAAATTGAATAATAATAATAATAATAAAATTGGCAAATATTTCTCAGCTCAGGCCATAAATGCCAGGTACCACAGACACCCATTTATTTTTATTGAGAAAATGAATAGAAATATGCAATTCATTTGGCTATTTTTAGTAAAGAAGACACTCCTAAAAGTTATTTGTGGTGTTTTGCATATCTATTTTGGGCAGTGCATTGTCTAATAATTCAAAACGGCTTAAAGTTGACCTTCCAGGGTGCCAGCATTTTTATCTTTCAACTTCTATTTACGTATATTACTACATTAATTCACAATAAAGAGATTATTATTATTATTATTATATCTCACCTTTCACAATGACTCTGGATCCATTACCGATGTGAGCAAAGCGGCTTTGCACAGCTGCGCAGTAGTACATACTGGAGTCATGCACCGTTGAATTGGTGATAACAGCAGTACAAATACTGGTCCACTGGTTTGGATGAGTGATGAGGATCGATCTGAAGTCTGTCGGTCAGGCTGATCGTTGCGTTCTCGGGAATGACTCTCAGCTAAGCCACTGTTGAACACGGGGAGTACAGCTCTACAATGTTGCACTTTAAAATGACATCTTCTCCAGCCATCACCTCAGCCACTGTCGGCCATACAATGAACGGCTTTGTCGCTAGATCAAAAGATTGGCATGTTTGTTATTGTGTTATTATCTAACATATTATAGAACTCAATTTCAAACAACATAAAGAAGCGTTTAATTTTTGTAATTACAAAATTCCAGCCCATCAATGTATAGGCCATCCATTATCATTTGCCTTCTGCATATTAAATGTTTGCTAAAGTGAAAAAAATATCACATGCAAAACACAAATATACAAACAAATAAATATATCTCACAGATTAAAGCACAATATGACCTTTAAATACACTTGATTTTTCAAGCAAGTTAGTGGAACATAAAAAATAAACAAATTAGCACATTACGAAATGACTAAAATCTGTTTACCTGTTCCCACAGTGTGAGACAGCCAGATCATCATCAGCCGGATGCTCATCTTTAAAGTCTGACGATCACAACAGAATCTAGCCTTCATTTGACTAGTTCAGCAAAAACCTGGTCTTCCTTTCAGTCGTCTGATAGGGTCTTTTTGCAGTAGATAATGACTACAGAAAACACAGGATACTCAAGACTAAACCTATGGCCCTAAAATTGCACTTGTTTTCATATCTGTAGGAGTTGAAATTACTGAGTGTATTGAGTGTATTTCATGACTCTTAATAAAAAAATAAAAAAACATCTGTACTGGTAAAGCTCAAAAATTCCCCTTTAATCAGCACTAAAACAACAAACATTCAGCAGTTATGCTACTTTATGCTACTTTTTGCAGATAAAATCAATGTAACAAACTAATGTCCTTTTAGAGCATCAGTTGATAATATGAATAGATATGAAAACATAATTCATATTCTAATGCCATTTAATTTGATTGAAATCAAAGAATAACTGTACATCGCTGGTCCTTTTTTTTTCACTGGGGGACGAGCTCTAGTTTTTTTTCTAGGCAGTAGGAATTCCGCTCTTCAACAGAAAAAAAAAAAAAGTTGATGTGGAGGTGAATTAAAATGATTTTTTTAGGTTTTTTTGGCTCATTTTAATGCTCAATTTATTTTCAGTCATATTGAGGCCCTGCTGACAGTTTGCTGAGGCTCCTAGTGGGCCCCAGGCCTCTGACTGAGAACTGAAATATGGAGAAATATGGAGGCTGTGCTCCAGTACCGATGAAAGGATCGAAACGGATACAGAGAGAGTCATGACTCTGTGATGTCAGTAGATATGAGAAATAAAGGCAGGGTAGACGTAGATTCACTTTAGCACAGGTTTGAACAGGACAGGGTATTGTGACATCAGCATCAGAATAGGCAGAGTAAATACATATTCTATCAGTCATATTTCAACCCTTGTTGAGGTGACAGGGAACTAATCCTTATGCGCTCAGGTTTCCTGCTTCTCTAGATACTTCTCTATGTGAAAAGTAACAGGTTGGAAGGCACACTGATATTATTTCTTAAAGTTATGTTGCTAGTGACCCTATACAGTATAGGACAAGCAGTTTAAAAAAAAACATATATACTGTATATATATATATATATATATATATATACTTACACTTACTCATACAGAATTACAACTTCTAAAATATGTGTATTAAAGACTCCTTCGGAAAGCTTATTTATTCAGCTTTCCGATGATGTATAAATCTCAATGTTCGAAAAATTGACCCTTATGACTGGTTTTGTGGTCCAGGCTCACATATATTCCAATGCTCTCTCTCTTTAGTCATTCACAAGAGTGTGGCATTTATTGAAGCACCTTTGTAAGGTAGATGATGACACACTCATGAGCAAATTTTGACGCTGAAACTCTGAAGTATATGCGTAATCTATGCACCACAACCATACAAGTGTGAACACGAGTCTGTACGTACAAAGCACATTTGTTCTCTTTGTAAGTATGTAACATTTGCAGTGGACTGCAGGTAAAACGGGCAGTCTGCAAATGGCAGCTTGCCATCAGAAAACTGTGTGGTATGTGAAGAATTTCAGCTCACTTGCAGTGAGCTGAAACTAACATCTGCAGTGAGAAATACTGCTGTTTGTGCATACACCCAAACTAAATGACAATGTGTAGCAAGAAAAGGAAAAAATGTGACCATCTACAATGTATTTTAAGATGGTACTAAACCATGATTCTTTCAAGTTGACACAGAAACAAACAGTAGAGTAACAAACCAGAATCAACATGCACTAAAGAAACTGACAATAACACTTCATAAGGCCAGACACAAAGGGCCATTGTATTCCCGTGTGAAAAATTAAGTGTGCTTAATTGTACTGAATGTGCTATTGTAGTGTACTTCAAACCATAAAAGTATACTTTTAAAAAAGCTGTGCCTGCAGATAATGAAATAAAAGGCCACTTTAGTTCACTTAAAGAGAGCTCATGTTTTTAACACACTTAAGTACACTTTTATAAAGTGCACTTTGTACTAATGTCAAATGAATACAATTTTAAGCAGTACACTTATTTTGATGTGTTGACTAGCATACTAAAACACAAAGTACTTGATTATAATTTTAACGGTAGTGTGTTATTCACTATTGCATTTAAAGTTAATACATTTTAAATGAACTAAATTGCAACTTCATTACAAATGTGTAATTAAAAATATATTTATATGCATGACATACAAGTTTCAGTAGAAATGACATTAAAGTACATTTTAGTTTACCATAAATGCTTGTCAGTACATTCAGCAATAAACTTATTTACCTTTATAACCAAAACAACAGAAGTATGAAATTACATATAAAGACATACTCAAGTCCTACTTAACTGTCAGAAAAGCACTTCAACTAACTGGATTTAATATTAATTTAAACTGTTATTCATTTTCATTAAATTGTAAATAATATGTAATTAAGTGTCTGAAAACCCTATTCAATTCACACAAAAGTATATTCTTGTGAAGTACATTAGTATGCTAAAGTGTACTTCTTTTTCAAAAAGGGTTCATATGTGTACATATGGCAAGATGAAAAAAGTCTCCTGAACACTTGAAATATTCGTATGATTGTGCATGTGTAATTCTGCTTGTTTAAACGAGTCAGTTATACAAAGCCCACGAGGTATCAATTACCATTTTTGAACTTGCACAAGAGGGTGGTGCAACTGTTTGAAGATGAGGACAGACTGACTAATTCAGTGCTCAGTTTGTTTGTGTGTAAATCTGCGTGATTATACACACCTGTGCATTGCTGTCCTATATTCTGTACAAGTAATACGCTCATGTAATGCTGTCAGAGGTGTGTCATGTCTAGTACTCTCAGTGCATCCACCCAAAATGCTGAGCATGCCCTTGCCTGTGCATTACCAGAACTGTTCAGAAAACAAGCAGAGGAAGACAGCCAAAGCCAGTGAATTTTGATCTGACCAGGGACACGCCTTGCTCAACCACTATAAAGTATTTTTGAAGGATTCCTGGAAAGAATATCATAAAAAAGACATACAGTCCTGTTGACCAAAGCAATATACAGCGCATTGAATATCTGCCAGAACTTCTCAGTTCTTTAAAACAAAGAAAAAAATTCCTATATAAAAACTAGCCCAATGCAAATAACCCAACCACACGTTCTGAACTAGGGCCTGTTGTTGCGCAAAAGAATTTGGATCCTGAGAGCTTCCAGATGTGTTCCCAAAGGAGCAGTAAGTCTGTTTTCCAATAGTTTTATCCATCAACAAAAAGTGTCATACGGAAACCTGGTTTTCCAGAGTTTTTTCCAGAGTGCGGAGCCTATGAAACCCGATCGTCTCCGCCCCGTTAGGTTCACTGTCCTAAAGCATCAAGTTACAGGAGACATTTTTCCCATAGCAGTCACTGACACGGAAGGTGTGTTTAGTTTTTTTTCTCCTGAGTGGGAGGATTCAGGATGTCAGCCAAGATGTGACAGAAGCGATGGGACACTGAGAGTGTAAAGTAACAAGCATTGCACGACGGGAACAGTAAAGTTTATCTAGAGCCAAGAAAATAAAACAAATCACGTCAAATGGCGACACAGGTAGGTGGTTTATGTTATATTAGTCTATGTATTTGTGATTGCTCGTTTACATTTCAATTTGGTTTCACGCAGTTATGTGTTTAGCCTATGAGTTTTTACATAAGCTGAGCTAGGTTTGTTCTCTTGAAACTACGCGTTTCTCGGTAATCTTCCGGCACTTGAACGAAACGGAGTCCAGATGCTGTTGTTTGTTGTTGTCAAAGGAACTAGTTTTTATTAAAGGTTATTCACGATTTTTGATTCTGTTTTCTTTTATCTCTCTCTCTCCGAGCAATCAATAAACTACAAGTGCCAATGACGCGTTTTGCCTCGCCTGTTTTCTGTTTGTTTTTGTTATTACGTGAGTTTGACAGTGTCTCGTTGATTATCAGGTCTTGTACCCCAATCATATAGGACATGTAAAATTGAAATTCAACCCTCAAAGACACTGCGTTCTTTCGCAATCCGCTGCTCTGTTTCTGAACGCAGGAACGCGTCCTGTGTTAATGGTCCCTAACGAAGAAAAAAATATGGCCAGTGTCAAGATAATTCAAGCCATATGAGTCGAGAGCTTCGCTGCAATGAAACGTTCACAGTTCTATCTATGCAGACGATACAATGGCTGTGTGTCTAAACCTAGCTGGCTGCGTCCCTGCCCTAACCCACCCCCATCTGGCCTACGATACCCAAAAATGCTGTCTAAGCAGGCAGCTCACAAGGTTTTGACATACAGCCATTGTGTAGAAATGGAAAGCACGGGCAATCAATCAGAGTCTTTGCGTTGTTGCTCTCTGGGAGAAGCCTCAAGACGAAGATTGCCTATGTGGAGTTAAAGAAAGAGGGGGGAAGTGTGCAGAAAGTTTTTGAATGGTCAAGACTGCAAATGGGGTTATATATTAACACTTTTTTATTATCGTAGCCACACGTGTATTTCAACACCATACAGTAAGTGTATTTTAGGTCAAAGCAGAGGAAGCCTAACCTTTTGTCTTAACAAAACAGGGAAATGGTTTCCATCATAAATGCACAGCTTAAGTAAATAATGCACAGAGGGCGGGGCTGTCATGGCCTGATATGCAGGTATTTCAGGTACTGGATAATTGTCTGAGAGCAACAAGGTTTGAATAGACACAGTTTACAAAGTCCATTGATAGTGCTCTGACAGTCTTGGAGGGAGGAAGGAAAAGCACTATCTTTTAGATTTTTTTTTTTAGAGGTAAATGATCAGTATTGAAACAGGTGCATATAACTGATTTAGTCCTAATGTTCATTGCTTAATTATAAAAGACAAAAAGAAGAGCTATTAACACTCCAAAACTAAAGCAATCATTTCTAAATACTGAAATAAGTACAGATCGTCATAGCATTTTTCAGCTTCATGCATTGCATTTTTTCAGTTGAATTATGACAGACATTGAGCAAAAAACATCATTGTAAGCTCTCCAGATCAGTGTATTTGTTTCTAGGCTCTTTAAAGTTTCAATACATGAGTGGTTTTCTAAAGAACTAGAGAATAAAACTTCTTTGAGAGACTTAAACAGGTTCTCCTATGACATCGGTTTAAAACCATTTTGGTTTTAACTCAAATGTGTTTACTATACTAGTAAAACCCCCCCACCTGTATAATTCTTCTATATAAGTATCTGTCTGTCTGTACTCTCTTGATTCTGCAGTATTCTGACCTTGAGAAGGCCATTAACACCTTGGTCACAAACTTCCACAGTGCTTCTCCTGATAACCGGCCTACGCTTAAGGTAGATGAGTTCAAGAATCTCCTCTCCTCCCAGCTGCCAACTTTAGTCAAGGTAAAACCCCTGCTATTCATTCCAACAGATACCAATGACTCAAAACTGTTATTACTCACTTCCTGTGATTGTACTAGTGTAGTTATAGTGTAACAGTTCCTAATAATTTCAAAAGGAAAAAATGTGAAAATGCTACAGCGAAACCAGTTAAGTGATTACATTATGTTAACAATGATATTAGGCCAATAAATGTTTTTGTGTTGTTTTAAGGCCTGTGGTTTTTTGTCTTTGTTATTATTGGCTCCATGTGCTGGAAAGACTAGTTTTGTTGAACTTTTAAGCCAGCATGCAGGTCTTAATTATTATTATCTGTTTGTTTAACTTATTTTGGTTGCAAAAATAGGTTTTTATGTCATATACATACAGGTGTAAAATATATATCATCCCCAAATGTCTGTAACGTTGTCACCATATTTGTTACAGAAAGGTTTTGGCAACCACAGCTGCCTTTTTTTTTACCATAATTGACCTTTTTTCAGTCTGAGGGACTGGTTGGTTTCACAGAGAATGTTTCCCAGAGTTTATTGCCTTACATAGAGGCGTGGTCTGATTACACAGATCAGTTTGAACTCAGGTTGAGCCAGCAAAGGACACTGGGTGTGGCTCCACTGAGAGAGCAAAATGGTGGCTGCCGTTGATCTGAAAGATAAATAATTTCTCCTGCAGTCAAACTGACGCTGCTCTTCAGTTACATTCGGTATCAGATCATGTTATGGCAGGCCTTCTACAGCTTAAGGGAGAACTTCTGACATAGTAGATTTTGTGTTTCTTTTAGCTGAATGAAGAGCTAATGCTCTGAGGTATATGGTATTGTAACATCTGAACAATACTTGAGTGATCCCGTACTTCAGTGCTGATGTAATTCTGCTCACAGTTCATGTTGTGACGTGTTTGTAACAGAAGAGTGAGAAACGGTACAGACTGTAGTGATTTAGAGAAAAAGTATCTTAGCAGAGAATTAATATAAATCTTGTATATGATTATGGAAGTGTTGCCAAGTTTAATAATTTGATTATTTTTAAAGATTCCAACTGAAAGCTTGAATATGTTAGCATTTGTTGTACTCACTGTATTTGAATTTGCAGAGTAACTGTTAAAGCTGTTAAAAATCTTTCCAAAAACTAAAAACACTCCTAGCCATACAGACAAACCACATGAGGGCGACAAAGTGCCAGTTTTCAAAAGCAAAAGTAAAAAACTAAAATGGATACATGAACACTAGTGAGTTTGAACACCTCTCTCTCTCTCTCTCTCTCTCTCTCTCTCTCTCTCTATTACATTTATATACATACATTGTAAGATATGACAAGAAGTTTCAAGCACTTCTGGAGCCTGATCCAGAATTTGGCCACAACCCAGCATGGTCTGCTGAGCCACGAGAAGTTGTCCAAATGCACCTGCCTTTTACTATGAGCCGTGGGCTTCAGCTGCACCTGCCACTAAGACCTGGTCTCTCTGCATCTCTGCATTTATCCAGAACCACTCATCTCCAAACAAAACACTAACTTTCCTTCCTAAGCATTCCAATAAATAAACACAATTTGTACATCAAGATGTCTTTATATACATTTTTTTTTTAAATAATGTGTCAAGCAGTACAGCCATCATCTCTCCTCATATCAAGTATCAGGTAAATCTTAACGTACAGACCAGTTAACTACTTCATATACCATAATTGAACTGGAGTCCAATTCGTTTTTCACTTGCAACTGGATTTACAGCTTCCCATAAGTGCATTTAACAAGTGTTTCTAATAAAAATAAAATCTTTCCTTTTTTGTGATAACACTACATTTAAGGCTACTGCCAGAATAGTCTAAAGTATGTGTATTTCAAGACATAGATATGTACTGAGTGGTTTATGCAAACAAAAACAATAATAACAATTTTTATTTATATTTTGTAATACTGTTTTTTATGGCCAAAAATCAATAACACCCTGAATTATTGTCTAATAAAATTCATATCAAAAACGTCGCTTGTTGATTTTTTTATCAAAATGTATAATTCTCAATGTTTAAATAACCTTATTTAAAATCAACTGTAATTTTATTTAGAATCGGCTGTCATTGTGCAACAGAAATGTTACTAAATCTGCCAGTGTAAAGAGCGAGGTAATTTCTGACAAAATAATAATGAACAAAACTCGGTAGCAACAGAAATTATTATATCTTACTTAATTATTATATCTATTACTATATTGTATTAGTCTTAGGTCTTAGAACTGTGTATAATAGAATATGTTTTTTGTTTTTTTACAGTGTAGGTTTTCATGAGAATTTTGCCTTCATCACAAAGATCTGATAACCACACAGACAACATACACCAAGTGTGAATGCAGTTCCTATCCTCTTGCATTGCCCCTTGCATTCCACACTTGTCCATATAGACCTGAAAATTAATTGAACTGGAAGTCTTTTTTGCAACTCTTGCAAACGCTAATTTGCATTTAGACATTCAGCTAAGAAAGTCACAGGTTAATAGACCAATGCATTCTACTGTGCTGTGTTTCACAGTTGGTGTAGGCACTCACCACAATGTTCTGTCAAAACAACCCCACAGAATTAGCACTTCCGTGTGAACTGTTTTCTTTGTTGAATTCACACTTGTGCATGCATTTTTTTTCATCCCTTAAAATCTATATACAATGAAAATGAGCCCTATATTCTCTTAAATATGCTCTTAAATTTAAAGCAGTGCATTTTTAAGGTAAACACCCTACAACTGATATACCTGTATATTGCCCAACAACCATTATTCTGATTGAACAATAATCACTGATTTTGGTCGAATATAAGAGTAATTATTGCCAGTTTCAAGTGCAATGCATGCATTCATTCATAATCTTTGACCTTTAAATTGGAGGAAGCTCTCCATCCTGATTATGTTCCAGAAAGATCCTCATCTGCTGTTGAATAAGACAAAAAGACATAATTTTGAGGGTACTGCCCTATGACAAGCTGTTGTACCTCTAAAGGTACAATCTTTGGAAAACTTTGACATACAGTATGTTCTTGGACAAATTTGAGGCTGAGTTCCTGTTTTGTTTCTTTAGCTCAAGCAACATGATGCCAATCCCATGGAATGCATAAACCAGTTTAAATCAGTTTATGCATTCCCCGGGAATTAAACCCAATGGGTGAACTATCCCTTTAAGTAACAAATGCTGATGTTGATTGTGTTAACACAAATGTGCGGCTTTTCACAACTAATATGAATATCACAACTTGATACAGCTGAGAACGTTTATTAACACCAGCAGTTAAAATGTCACAGGTTCAGTCTGATAAGACTTTGAAGACTATATTACTATTTTTGTACATGAAATGTACCACTGATCGTGAGTCATAGAGAGCTTGCAAAACATGAGGCTGAAAAAAGAATAAAAAATAAATCAATAAAAAAACGGAGCAATTTTGATGACTACTTTAAATTGAACTGTTCATATGTTGGTATTTATTGATATGTTGTATATATTTATCACTTGTCCTGACCACCAGCTGTTCAGCAACAGACCAAACAAAGAAGTTTCGGTATTAATATAACAACAACTTCAAACAGGAGGCCAAAAAGTACAGAGTTCCTGGTTTAATGCTGCCCAGGAAGTATGTGGGCTAAGCCCAGGCTTAAGCTACATGGTGAGTGTTGTGAATTCTTTATATTATATATCGTTAATACTATATACTATTATTAATACTTTTATTTTATATCTGGTAAGAGTTTGTATTATGTAAATATGCACTACGCAACTTGTAGTGTGATACGTGTTCTACAATCTGCAGGAGTTTGCTGGATGGCTACAAGTCAAAGCACAGCAGCAGAGACTGTCTATTCGTCTAGTGCAGCGCTACCAGCACGAGAGGCTTCCAGGTGTCGGGAAAGAGAAACCCTCAGCAAAACAAAAGGGGTCAAGTCTAGTTCTTTACTATGGTGCATCTCCAGTTGAGACTACACTCTCTACCCGTCCAAAAGACCCCAAGCAAAAGAAACCACTCAAGGTACAAGCAGGAGCCCAGCTAGCGAAGCTTCTGAAAGATGAGATCACTCTCACAATTCAGCAGACAATTTTGTGGACAGATTCTACAACTGTGCTGGAGTGGCTTCAATCCGACTCTTGTAGGTTCAAAGTCTTTGTTGGAACACAAGTCTCAGAAATCCAGGAGTTGACAGAGCACAGTACTTGGCGGTATGTGGACACACAGCAAAACCCAGCGGATGATATCACCAGAGGTAAACCTCTCTCTAGTTTTACTGTGCCTGGGCGCTGGAGTCATTTGGTACAACCAGCAGCCCGTGTTGTGCCATTTTTGCTGTGCAACAACATGCTTGCAATAACCAAGAGAGTTACCCAGGTGCTTTACAGGCAGTGCAGCAGAGTTTTTATGTGGACAACTATCTGGCAAGCTTTCCAACCACATCTGAAGCCAAGCTAACAGTTGATCAACTGCGCAGTCTGCTAGCTACGGGTGGTTTTGACCTTAGACAATGGGCTAGCAACCAGCCATCAGTGATCTCTCATCTACCCACAGAAGCAAGGTCTTCAGCTGCAGAACAATGGCTTGAACAGAACAGGACTGATCCAATGGAGCCAACTTTGGGTAGAATGTATCCCCCCTATCCCCCTCCAACACAATAAATGTATTATCAATACTTTTTGTCTTTATGTGTGTTTTTTTGTATTTTTTGTTTTTGTTTTGTTTAATTGTTTTTTGTTGTTGTTGTTTGAAATGTTGATTTAAAGTGTCAATTTTTTCATTATCATTTCAGTCAAACCTATAAAAAACTTTGTTAACCCAAACTACATAAAAAAGCTTGATCAGTCACATAAAAGTAATCAGACTCCAGCTACTTATTCCTTTGTTACTCATTGACGCGTGAACTTCACCTTTAAATGACGTGACGCTCTGCTCTCTATGTGTATGACGTTGCTTCCATTAAGTACTGTTAGTAGTGAATTAATTAATTCAGCATTTCAACATTTCCTTAAGGATGCGCTAAATTCAACAAAGCGGTTTAATAAAGGATGTATTGATCTTGTGATTTAGCAAATTTTACTATATTTTTTAATTGGCCGTTAAATTTTTCTATGTGAATATTACACACACCACACTGATCCTTTAAACAATGCATTGGCGCAAAAAAAGCACACCCTTTGGACCAATTTTGCAGCGTGATTTCTCGACTGCCACAAATACTGCCTTAACAAAATACTCATTTTGTGCACTTTTTTACTGTACCAATATTTTAAATTGGTCTTTGAACTTAGCTTTATTGCAAGGCTTAAAAAAAACACGTTACTTTGCCAAAGCACTGACAGAACCCATAGATCTAATGGTGTTGTTGAGCACTCCAAATGCAAACTTTGCATGCAACAATCCGGTAGCAATTGACAGCGCTCTGATCCAATGGCATACAGGCAATATGCACTACGCAACTTGTAGTGTGATACGTGTTTGGCGTAAGTGACGCATTATTGGTTAGGCATACAGAGCGGACAGAATGTGACGCAGTTTCCACCTGTGCAGCATCGCTAAGTGCAGGGCAAAAGTTACTGACGACGTAAGTTTATTCCATGACATTATGTTTGTAATACTGGATGTTTATACTGCTGAAATCTGTTTCTACATTAAGCCGTTTTTGGTGGTTCGTGATCCTTATGATCATTAATTCATCACGTGAAACGCACGTGGAAGTGCCGCTAGCATCGCTGCTTATCTTGCTAATGTTTGTAATATCTCGTTTAAACATGTTTCTGATTCCGTACAATATATTCTACATTTGTTATACTTTCATATCGTAATGAGGATGTCGTATAATGTATCTTAAGTTGTTTATGCTCCTTTACATCCTGTTTACATCCAGTAATTATTAGTTCACTAATTACACGTTAAGAGAAAGTTGTTGATATTGTTTCATTTGAAATGTGCTGTTTTACAGGAACAGTATGCAAATATTTGTTAGACATTTAATTATTTACTTCTATTTATTGTTCATTGCAGAAACTACCTTCAATGCATATCAGTGTGTATATGGTGAAACCCTGCACATAAATAAATGGTGGAAAGAAATTTGATGACTCCGACTCCCTGATCAGAGTACTGAAGTGGTTAACACCATTAAAGAACCGGCATTAGTGGGGCAGTCCCCAACAGTGAGAATGTATCCCCCCTATCCCCCTCCAACACAATAAATGTATTATCAATACTTTTTGTCTTTATGTGTGTTTTTTTGTATTTTTTGTTTTTGTTTTGTTTAATTGTTTTTTGTTGTTGTTGTTTGAAATGTTGATTTAAAGTGTCAATTTTTTCATTATCATTTCAGTCAAACCTATAAAAAACTTTGTTAACCCAAACTACATAAAGCTTGATCAGTCACATAAAAGTAATCAGACTCCAGCTACTTATTCCTTTGTTACTCATTGACGCGTGAACTTCACCTTTAAATGACGTGACGCTCTGCTCTCTATGTGTATGACGTTGCTTCCATTAAGTACTGTTAGTAGTGAATTAATTAATTCAGCATTTCAACATTTCCTTAAGGATGCGCTAAATTCAACAAAGCGGTTTAATAAAGGATGTATTGATCTTGTGATTTAGCGAATTTTACTATACCAATATTTTTTTTAATTGGCCGTTACATTTTTATATGTGAATATTACACACACCACACCTTTAACAATGCATTGGCGCAAAAAAGCACACCTTTTGGACCAATTTTGCAGCGTGATTTCTCGACTGCCACAAATACTGCCTTAACAAAATACTCATTTTGTGCACTTTTTTACTGTACCAATATTTTAAATTGGTCTTTGAACTTAGCTTTATTGCAAGGCTTAAAAAAAACACGTTACTTTGCCAAAGCACTGACAGAACCCATAGATCTAATGGTGTTGTTGAGCACTCCAAATGCAAACTTTGCATGCAACAATCCGGTAGCAATTGACAGCGCTCTGATCCAATGGCATACAGGCATT